GATATATCATTTATTTCTTTGATAAAAACATTTAGAATAAACATTAAAAAACGATTATATCTAAAATCCCACAAGGGAATTGGCGATCGGGACCCTGCAAGGGTACCAGTCTCGGAAAGCCATGTTACGCAACTGATAATTTGTGGTATTTATGCAGTTCTCCAGTTTTGCATCATGTTTCTGTTAACATTGATTTTGCAATTTTTTTCAGAACTAACTGATGCAATAGACTGTCCCTACAATGAAACAGAAGTAGATAGAACAGGTCGAAGGTGTAATCGTGATACTTCATCATGTTCTGGAGAATCTGCTAAATCGGATTGCAAAGGAAGACGCCGCTGTAAATGTGATGATATATGTGGTTTCATTTGCATTAAAGTTTGTAAGTTGTCTTTAACTTTTTTAAATATAAATAAATTGTAGATCCCCACATTATTCGTCTGACTTGTGATTGCATTACTTGCTATTTTTCTCTTGTCAATAACAATATAACGATACATATAGCAGAAGATAATTATATCTATTTTCCGATTGACCAAAGTTAAAGATGACTATTGCAATATTGAAGATCTGGGTTCCCTCACTGTCGGACTGAGTGTATCGTACACACGTGAGCCAGTGCGTTTTGGAACAAATGCCACATTTAGCTGTGCCCCTGGTTATCAACTGTCTGACGAATCTCTGAGTATGAGAAAATGTCGTGGAGATCAACGAGATGTGTATAAGAGACAGCTTAACCTTAGTTAATACTTCATCTAATAGGCCAAATGTTATCTATGTTTGATATTTTCCTTTTGTGATTTGTTAGGCCATTGAGCCATATTTAATATTTCCTGCTTTGCCGTGTTTCTTAAATTATCCAGGATATGCTGTCATCACTCACCTACCCGAGTCCAGTATGAGGAAGACAACTGCTGTTGCTATACCTTCTTCGTCAACAATTCCTTGTCAGACTTACAAAGGTGTAATGGTGTCTTCAGTCTTTCATGCTTTTCTGTTTATTTTCTTTATAATTGGTGAGTGTCCATTTTTTTTTTTATCATTCAAGAAGAAAATTTCAGTTACGTTTTTGATAATGATGAAATCCTGCTTATAGTAGGTACTGACGAATTTAACATTACTGAAATGTATTAACATCATTGTAATATTGTTTTTGTTATGATGATGGTTATGATAATTATTATTATGAATATGATTATGATTATTGTGATGATAATTAGTAGTGTAAGGCCTATGCACTCTTTTGAGGTGATCAGAAGGGCCCTACACCCCCAGGGGCCTGAAGCACCCTGACCCACCAAAAGAGGCTGATATTAATAGCATATTGTGTCTCTGACAATGACTGTAGGACATATATTATATCCAGTGTCCAGGCTCATCTAAATTTGTCAAAATATTTAAAAAATGCGGATGGAGGTAAAAATAAAATTGTATTCAAATTTTAAGTCTGAGTGCCATTTCTGGCTATGTAGAGGTGCTATATTCATAAATTGTCTTACCTTAGCCTCAACCATGGTGAGGCTGAGGTGGTAGTCCCTCCCTGGGCCCCCTCGATTTCAAATTCCTGGATCTGCCACTGATACATCATTTATTTCTTTGATAAAAACATTTAGAATAAACATTAAAAAACGATTATATCTAAAATCCCACAAGGGAATTGGCGATCGGGACCCTGCAAGGGCACCAGTCTCGGAAAGCCATGTTACCCAACTGATAATTTGTGGTATTTATGCAGTTCTCCAGTTTTGCATCATGTTTCTGTTAACATTGATTTTGCAATTTTTTTCAGAACTAACTGATGCAATAGACTGTCCCTACAATGAAACAGAAGTAGATAGAACAGGTCGAAGGTGTAATCGTGATACTTCATCATGTTCTGGAGAATCTGCTAAATCGGATTGCAAAGGAAGACGCCGCTGTAAATGTGATGATATATGTGGTTTCATTTGCATTAAAGTTTGTAAGTTGTCTTTAACTTTTTTAAATATAAATAAATTGTAGATCCCCACATTATTCGTCTGACTTGTGATTGAATTACTTGCTATTTTTCTCTTGTCAATAACAATATAACGATACATATAGCAGAAGATAATTATATCTATTTTCCGATTGACCAAAGTTAAAGATGACTATTGCAATATTGAAGATCTGGGTTCCCTCACTGTCGGACTGAGTGTATCGTACACACGTGAGCCAGTGCGTTTTGGAACAAATGCCACATTTAGCTGTGCCCCTGGTTATCAACTGTCTGACGAATCTCTGAGTATGAGAAAATGTCGTGGAGATCAACGTTGGAGTGGTGAAACACCAACATGTGTAACAGATGGTAAATTGAAGGAAGCCTTTCATGTGTAATGTATCTGTAATGATTGTGATTCTTTTTTTGCTTTTTCTATTTGTGTTATTACAGTTATTGTTTTTGTGTGTATTGTTGTGCTGGTTTATATGTGAAATTTTAAGAGAGTATCATTGGCGAATAATAATAATGATAATAATAACAACAATAATAATAATTATATAATAACACTAACAATATCAGCAAAAAAATGGGATTGCTACCTCAAATGGCATAATTTTTTAAATGCTCTACTTATAGTGTCATGTGGACCGCCACCTGCTGTGCGCAGAGCCAGACACAATGGAAGGGATGTATACGGAAATGATCGGCTTATCTACGGTATTGGAGAGCGTCTTAAATTTACCTGTTGGCATGGTTACTATCGAAAAGGAGGAAGTCCATATATAACTTGCAAACGTGACGAGTTCAACTCTTCAGTTGCCAACTGGACTGCTGTTGATCCATATCTTGAATGTTATCGTAAGTTGCAAATTTTAAATGATAATAATGAGGAAATGATGATATAGTATAGCAATGATAATGATAATAAGAGTATTAAGAAAAGTGGCAAAAATTCATAATATTACATTTTAATTAGCAACACATCAATATTTCTGCTATTAAATGCTTAGTTAAGGGCTGTACCTACAAGACTCGCGACTAAACATTCGAAGCAATCAATACCCCCTTAACAACTGCTGTACTACTACTACTAAACTAGGCATAGCTTCCAACGTTTCTGTCAACTCTGGATTATGATGATTATCATGATTATGTTGTATTGTGTGGAAAATGAACAATAAACAAACAAACAAACAAACAAACTCTCCAGAGGGGAAACCAGGGGATGTTGCAATAGTGAACCATGTCCCCAAGAAATAAATAGGAGTCAGTTAACGACACAAAAAATTTGGCTTTTTAATATACTGTACAGGTAATAATAACTTTATTGAATCGTACACAGTGGCACACACTATCAAGTGGTGCGTTCACAATAAAACATTAAAAGAACACAGTACATTCGTCAGCAGCAGTGGTAAACGTCAACGACGGCCATGTGTCTTCTGAGGAAGACGGCTACGTAACAGTAACAGTAATTCATATTCTCCACATTATAAGCTTTAAAGTGATAGGTCATTTACTGAAATTGACTTGTAAGTTTTGAGTAAAAGTATTACAGCTTCTCTGCTTTTGTATACAATCTGCCACCTTCGTGTGCAAAAATTACTCAGTTTAATATTTAGGGACAGTATGCTGATTTTGGAATGGTAAGCCTCATGTAAATAAAATGTAATCAAAATATATTAAAGATGTACTGTCCCTTGCAAAAAACAAAAATCATAAAAATCATTTTTTAAATTTACTTGCCAATTTTAAAGTAACATAAAAATTATCAACTTGAACATAGAAATTAGTGTATTTAGTGTAGTGTATGTTACTGCAAAATGAGCAAGTTAATTAAAAAATTATTTTTTAAGATTTTGGTCATTTTTAACGGACAATACATCCTCAAGTGTATTGAAATAGCTTAATTAATGTTGCCTTGTTCAATTTAGCTGTTAGTTGTGGGTTTCCTGGTAATATAGCCAATGGAAAGAGAATTGGAAATGTGTTTACGTTTGGAAGCCAGGTTACGTTTGAATGCAACACTGGTTACCAGCTATCTGGTAGATACTATAGAACGTGTCAGGCTAATCAGCAATGGGATGGTTATGTACCATCGTGTAATCGTAAGTAGTCTTACTTGTTTTGTGCTAGATAAAACTTAGTTACTAAGTACTGCATTAGAAACCCTATTAAGGGGACAACTTTGGACCTGTATTAGAATACGCAGTGCCGGCCAGTATGGGGCCTGACTATTACCAAGGACCAGTCTTACCAACTTGATCGCATTCAGCATAGAGCCTGTTAAACAAAACTTGTACATGAGATGGTGACCCTGTTATTCCACTCACTGTAAGAAGGGACAACTTGTGCAGGGGATACTTTTCAAGGTTAAACACTCTGGGCATGTACTCCGTAATTTGCTACCTGATAAAACAAATATCAACTATAACCTTTGAGCTCCTTCAAGTTGCCTGAAATCAGAACAAAGAGGTCCTGTGACTTTGTTTTATATGATGGGGTATTTGCCAAGTGGTGAAGTCTACCTTCCCAAGTTACCCCTCCTCCCCCATCCAAAAAAAAAAATCCTGTAGGATTTATTCAGTATTTACTCATTTGTATGTCTTCTTTATTTATGCCCTTTTTGATTGTTTTTGTTTTTCATGTTTTGTATATTTAAATAATTAAAATTTTTTTTATATTATTACATTAAAATATTCTGTACATTTAAATTTTCCTTAAATTTGCAGTAAAGTTATTTAAATCTTAAAGCTTTAATCTCATGAGTGCATGGTTTGCTGGGCCCTTTTTTTAGTTTGTGTCCAAAATGTCAAAACCGCAATGAAAAGGTTAGTATTTTTATACATAGCACTACACATACCTGCAGAAGAGAGGACAGACACTTGCCCAATCGTCATTTGTTGACAAGTGGTAATTGAAAACATTACATTCGAAAAAAATTTAATGTTACATATGAATAATTAAGGAATTCCTTTAATCAATGGACCCTAATAAACTAAAGAAACTTTAATTTAATAGGAATATTTGAATCTGTAGTCTAGAAGAAATCATCAAGTTCTTCAAACACAATGATATTTATTTATTGTACTGTTGTACCATTTCAACTGCCGCTAACTGCAGGAACAACCCACATACACACATTTACCTAACCTTTGTATAATAATTTCCACTAGTATATGATAAGCAATTATACTAATTGCTCAATAATATGTTAGACATATATAGCACTTCATTCCAACAAGGCCTTTAAGTGCTTCATATTATTTAAAGGAATTTAAGAGAATGATCTGTTGGCCATTTGACAGGTCTATCCTCAACATCAGTAGACTTGATGAATTTAAAAATGCAGATGTAAGAAAGGCAACAATAATCTTCTCTAGAAAGAGCTTGGAGTTACTGGGAAAATTTTACAATGAATACACAAGAATAGAGTTTGAGGAGGCATCAGCCGGCAGTGTCTGACAGGCTGATGATGAGGATGGTCTGTTGGCTATTGGCATGTGTCTGAATTTCTAAATGAACCCGAAGACACTAATGTGTGTTTAGGATGTAGGTAAGTGTTAATACATTACCTGTTTTTTATTTTATTTTTTTCATCAGCAATACAGTGCCCACGTATATCAACACCTGAAAACGGTGGTCTCTTTGGATCGTCAACTACATATCGCAGTAGTGTCGCCATTGAATGTGAAGATGGGTTTGTTGTGGCAGGAACTGATTCGCAATTACTTACTGTAACCTGTCAGGCCGACAAAACATGGACTCACAGTCTACTGACATGTGAAGGTTATTGCTTTGATATTATTTGGTTATATTAACTTAGTAAAAAAAGTTACTATAAGTTAAAAAAAAAAAAAATAAATCACTTAATTTGGCTCTATAGAAAATGTATTGGCTAAAGATGAAAATTGGAGATTCTGTCAATCAAGCTGTTGATACTTGTATGGTTTGTTCCTGCCCTAACTTGGTCCATTCACGTTCAAAAGTTGTGTAATCAAGCAAATAGAATTTTATTACTACACAGAAATCTGTGTTGCGTTGACAGTTCCTTTGCTGTCGATGCTTTATAAATCCTTGGTTTTGCCTTGTGTATGTAATTTGAGCACTAATTATATATTATCTCTTATTTTTACTATTATTTTTTTTCCTAATTATTATTATTGCTATTATTACCACCATATATTTCTTTTTTTTCCTAATTATTATTATTGCTGTTATTATCACCATATATTTATTATGTAATTATATAATTGTTATTAATACATAATTATTATTATTATTATAAAGTATTATTATTGATATATGTATTATTTATGGTAAAAGATAATTATTTTCTTAAAGAGTATAACTGTTGCAGACCTGTCAAGGGTCTCACACTGGCTTGCTTGAGATTTCTTCTGGATTTGCTTGAGATTGGGTATTTTTTGAAAATTATGCGTGAGGTCACAAACCTTAAGGAAAATACAGTCAAGTGTCGATATAACATACACCTTAACAGTGAATACATTGATACAAAGTGCCACTTTGATATCCCAGTTAGTTTTCTTCAGTCTCTGCTGAGGTGGTGTCGAACACTCTGACGATTGCTACGGGATCACTAGCGCCGATAGTTGTGTTTCTACATGTTGTATGCTTGTTTTGAGAAAATAGCACATTAAAAAATTATAATTTAAAGAAATTCTGGAAAGCGTGAGAATATATAGGCCTCGCGTGAGGCCTTAAGGTCAAAGTTAATTGCGTGAGGCTCCCGGGATATGCACAAGGCTAGACATGTCCTTTTACTATTTGAAATTTCTTTAAACTTTATTGATTGGCTTTGTAGCTTTCTGTCATTGTATTGTATTTTATTGTATGTGTTGCTGGGTTAAATGAATAGATGGTTAAATGGATAGATGGATACATAGATACATGGATAGATGAACATCTTATAGATATAGATAATACCATTAGATAGATGGATGGATAAATGGATGGATAGATTGATGGGTGGATATATGGATGAATAGATAAATGGATGGGTGGATGGATATGTGAATGGATTGATAAATGGAGAGATGGATGGATGGATGGACAAATGGATTGATAAATAGATGGAAGAATGAATAGATGGATGATGGTTAAATGGATAGACGGATACATAGATATGGATAGATGAATATCTGATAGATATATAAATAGGTAATACCATTAGATAGATAGATGGATAAATGAATGGGTGGATGGATGAATGGGTGGATGGATGGATGGATGGATAAATGGATGGATAGATTGATGAGTGGATATATGGATTAATAGATAAATGGATAGGTGGATGAATAAATATAGATAGATTGATAAATGGATAGATGGATGGATGAATGGACAAATGGATTGATAGATAGATGGATGAATGGAGAGATGGATGATGGTTAAATGGATGGATGGATACGTAGATACATGGATAGATCAGGTATATAATAGATAGATAATACCATTAGATAGATGGATGGATAAATGGATGGATGGATAAATGGATGGATAGATTGATGGGTGGATATATTGATGAATAGATAAATGGATGGGTGGATGGATAAATGGATGGATTGATAAATGGATAGATGGATGGATGGACAAATGGATTGATAAATAGATGGATGAATGAATAAATTGATGGCTGGATTAAAATATCTAGAAATTCACAGAGAGTCCGTACACCTGTATACCTGTATATTATAAAGTCTCATGCAATTACTCTGTGCATTTCTTATGCAAAACACAGACTTGAGGACCTCTATATCTAGTTGACTAATACTTACTTTTGGTTTTGTGCTTCAAGTATGATTATTATTTTATGTGAAGTTGAATTTTCCAAAATTTAATTACAAAAAAATCTATAAAAACCAATGCTATTTGAATTACTGTGTTGGATAAAATTTCTCTGTATTTTTTAGGATAATACATTTTCTTGTATCTTGCTATCAGCTCTAGATGCTCCTAAATATGTTATCAGATTTGTCAGTTGTATAATCATGGAGGTATAATATATTATAATATATTTTTATACCTCCGTGGTATAACCGACCCTACCCACAGAACATTTCCAGTTCAAAGCCTTTCACAAAAAATATGGAATATTAAGAATGCTTTTGAATTACTGTATGTCATTTGTTTTGTTTTTGCATAATGTATTTTATTATTATTAAGTGTTACACTTTTTTTAAATTCAGCTGTGGACTGTGGAAACCCAGGCATTCCAATGAATGGGAGTCGAAATGGAGTTAACTTTGGTTACAACGGCTACATAATCTTTTCATGTGATGATGGTTTTCGTCTAGAAGGAAGTAAATCCATATATTGTCAAGGAAATAACAAGTGGTCTGATCCCACTCCGATATGCAAAGGTAGGCTTACAGTTATGCAGAGTGATATGATATTAACATTAACAGAGTTCCCAATTTGCAAGAAGCCACTTCCGGGGGAACTGGTTTAATGAGCTTTCTTAACATCAATAAATTTTATTTTTGCTGCATGTATAGCCATTGCCAGCTGACTTATGGGAGACTATTGAAACTGCAATAGTAAAAACATGCAATAGTAAAAACATGCAATAACATGAATTTGCTGGAATGGGTTAAGTTTCCAGGAGATTTTTACTTGCTTATTTCTGGGACACTCCTTCCACAACTTCGAAGACACTTGAAGGTCCATAGTAATATTGGTAATGTCGTTTATTTAGGAGATATTTATGGTGTCTTCAATGTCATAGTCATCTATAAATAAAAACATTGTACAATTATAATGTAGAGTAGAAGTATACATGGTCCAGTGGTAAGCCTTTGGTGGCTCACTCAGCAGGCCAATTCACATGAGGAGGTTAAATACTGGTACTATTACTGGTACGGGCATTTATAATGTGCCTCTTCCTTTTAGGTATAAAGCGCAGTTATTTCCCTGGTCATTGGGTCAATATGCTTTAAATGTTGCTGCTGGTAATCAGCACAGGAACAGGCAACCTCACCAGGTATCTATTTATACTCCAGGGTGGAGAGAAGCAATGAAGATAAGTATCTTGCTCAAGGATACAAGCGAAATGCACAGTGAGGGATTGAAATCTCGAACTCAAGGTTGGGAAACCAAACCGTTGCCGCTGCGCCGAACCGGTTCCACTGCCATTCTGAATATAAATTTTGTTTATCATTTTTTTAGGTCAATGCGAACTGCCTGAGCTTGCAGACAACCTGACACCGATTTCTGGTTACTATCCTGGTGATAAAGTTGATGAAGGATCAACCTACATAATCACATGTTATGAAGGTTACAACCTCAACTCAGCAACAAATATTTGGAAATGTCTTGCCAGTGGAAAGATGTCTTTTGTTCCAGTTTGCATTGAAGGCATGTAGATACAAATTATTATTGTTGCATATAATTGTTTGTGTATATTGCTGTCAAGTCTGATGTTTAATGATAAGATTACCTAAAAAGTTGTATTACTGTTATATTTAATGTTTCATGTTCAGTTGATTAATATCCACAGCAGAAACTATCAAAATTTAAATGACATAACACTTGATCATCTCATGGTCCTTTTTAAGTAAAGCCATAAAACTGACATTGTAAATTAGGAAATGTAAATCAAAACAAAAGAGGAAATATCAAAGGTAGAAACATAATTTACAGGGTATAATAAAATATTAAAACTGGTTAGGATTCAATTTGTTTTTAAATCCAACTGAATACATAATTATACTATCTTATACTGCAAGAATTTTAGTTATTTTTTAATTTCCATTTTAAATTGGAAGGTGTATTTAAGTTTTCTAGGCCACCATTTAGTTCATTCTATAATTTAGCACCTCTGTAACTGATTATGAAAAATACCAATTACTGATGTGAAAATATAATCAACATAATATACCGTAGTTGATTTTTAGATCAATGTTAGTGGCCCAGTGAAGTTGCATTTTTTAGTTGTGCTTATTTTATTCTATAGTCTTGGGTTTTGTACCAGTGAGACTCATGGATTAATGAGAATCATGGCTGTGTTTTGGTGGGAGTTATGGGTTGTGTACCAGGGAGTTATGGGTTGTGTACCAGTGAGAATCATGGTTGTGTACCAGTGAGAATCATGGATTAGTGAGAATCACGGCTGTGTATTGTGAGAGTCATGGGTTGTGTACGAGTGAGAATCATGGATTAGTGAGAATCATGGCTGTGTATTGGTGAGAGTTATGGGTTCTGTACCAGTGAGAATCATGGATTAGTGGGAATCATGGCTGTGTATTGGTGAGAGTCATGGGTTGTGTACCAGTGAGAATCATGGATTAGTGAGAATCACGACTGTGTATTGGTGAGAGTTAGGTTGTGTACGAGTGAGAATCATGGATTAGTGAGAATCATGGCTGTGTATTGGTGAAAGTCATGGCAGTGCCGTAACGCCTATGCACTCTAATGCGGCGGTCCACAGGGCCCCCAGATTCTAGGGCCGGGGCCCTACCGATAGGCTCCTCGATCTAGCACCCTGACCAAAAAGGACTTTGTTAATAAATAACACCATAATGTGTCTCTGAAATCAACTGTAGGGCATATATCATATTATAACGATTAAAGTGGGGGCCCCACCTCTCGGTCCAGGTATCCCACCAAATTTGTAAAAAAAAATTTAAAATGGAGATAAAAAGAAAGTTATATTAACAATTTTAAGTCTGTGAGTGCCATTTCCGGCCATCTAGACATACCATAATAATACAATTTCTTATGCCAGCCCCACAAGGGCAACAGCATAATGTAGGACATATAATATTATAATATTATATCCAGTGGCGGAATAAAGAGTGGGGGTGGGGGGCTGCCGGCCTGGAGCTTCCGGCCCGAGGCCCCACTAATTGTCAAAATATTAGATAAAAAGAAAATTATATTCACAATTTTATGTCTGTGAAGTACCATTTTCAGCCATCTAATGGTGCCATATTCATAAATTTTCTTACCTCAGCCCCAACCATGTTGGGTCTGAGGTGGCCTCGATTTTCTGGATGCATATTATATCAATTATTCATTGTTAAAAACATTTAGAATAACAATGCACATCTAAAATCCCACGATGAAATTGGTGACCAGGACCCAAAAAGGGACCCCAGTTTCAGGAATACACAGGGCCTCCGGCCCCACCGTTACGCCACTGAGTCATGGGTTGTGTACCAGTGAGAACCATAGATTAGTGAGAATCATGGTTGTGTGTATCAGTGAGAATCATGGTTGTGTACCAGTGAGAGTAATGGGTTAGTGAGAATCATGCTTGTGTACCAGTGAGTGTTATTGGTTGTATATTAGTAAGAATCATGGCTGTGTATTGGTGAGAGTCAATGGGTTGTGTATCAGTGAGAATCATGGTTGTGTGCCAGTGAGTCATGGGGTTGTGTACCAGTGACAGTCATGGGTCATGTTGTACCGGTGAGTGTTATAGGTTGTATATTAGTGAGAGTCATGGGTTGTGTACCTGTGAGAATCATGGTTGTGTACCAGTGAGAGTCATGGGTTAGTGAGAATCATGGTTGTGTACCAGTGAGAGTCATGGGTTAGTGAGAATCATGCTTGTGTACCGGTGAGTGTTAATGGTTGTATATTAGTGAGAGTCATGGGTTGTGTACCAGTGAGAGTCATGGGTTGTGTACCAGTGAGAGTAATTGGTTGTGTACCGTCGAGAGCCATGGTTGTGTATAATACTTGCAGGCGAGTCACATCGTGTAAAATTTTGTGAACCTGTAAAATATGTTGCATGAGCTAGCGTATGGCGTGAAACTGCACCCACAACAGGTATTTTAAGCCAACTGTGTTGTCGTGCTAGAGACACTTGATGTGACATGTTTTATGTTTGAAGTATTGACCAATAAGTAATGTTGCATGTAAGATTCATACAAATATTGCAAAATTGTATTGACATAGTAATGGATAATGAGTTTATAGTTAGACTTGTATTTTTCTTTCTAGATCCATGTCCTGAATTACAAAACATTGATAATGGTAGGATAGAATACATGCCAACAGATGCACAAGGTGGTTTCTATATGCCTGGTACAATTGCAACTTATTATTGTGATGAAGGATATGAACTTACCAAGGACTATCAACAACGCACATGTGTACGAGGAAGTTTCACACGAGAAAGTCCAACATGCACAATAAGTAAGATTTTATATCAGGGCATGGTGTAAGTTAGGGATGGAGAGTGTTTGTATTGTTAAAAATATAAACAAATAAATAGAAACCAAACATCAGGTCCAAAATAATTATCAGTATACACCATATCTCAGAAACTGTTACTAAGCCTAGGAATATTTACTTCAAGGAATCTATATTTCTGTGTGGTTTTAATCACTTTAGATATATATTATCTTAATAGCTTGTCTTGTGCAATTACTATGTAAAAAGCACTTATGAAATGTGTAGGCTGCTGCACTCTGACCTCTGATCATTAGTACCTTCAAATATTTACAAAAACATAATGCAATAATGTCAACTGATTATTGTTGTATATTTTGATATATATTTCAGCCGCTCCGAGTTTCTTTCCTATTCTTCCTTCTTCCTTTATTCTTTCATATTTTATGTTAATTTTTCCATAATTGCAACAGATTACTTACACATACATTAAGTAAGTTTTTAAATATAATTGTTTACGTTTATGGGCTAGTCTCTGTATACTTGTTCTATAATTAACATAACTCAATCTTTGTTCAATTTAAAGAGATATGTCCTGGTCTCGACCACCCTAGAGTCACTCTCAGATAGGCTTATTATCTTCATTTGACTTCTATGAATGGATACGTTGTTCGAAGCAAGAAATCAAGTTGCCTTACTCAGTACCGTTCATGTTTTTATCGGCGGGAAATCTCCCCTACTACTGGCTGGGAAGAAATGCTGTATATATACTGATGATCTTATTTGAATACTTTCTCTTTTGAAATTAGAAAATAAACTTATACCTCATTACTCTACAGCAACGTGTGATGTTCCTGCAATTTTAAATGGAAATGTTGTTGGGAGCTTCCCTGGAGCAGTGAACCATGGGGTGATGGTTAATTACACATGTGATGAAGGATATCACTGGGAAGGCTCTCCACTGCTGTGTTGGAACAAAACATTTACTCCCACTCATCCTTTGTGCCTTGAAGGTAACATATTTCATTCAGAAAATTTAACAATGGATTTGATACGTTGTTTGTTCATTTTTATTATAATTATTCTATACTCTGATTTCATTAAGCATATTTACGTGTGTCTAAGAATAGATTAATCAAAATTACTAACTGAAAAAAAAAACATAAGTAAACTTTTAACTAGAAGAAGAATAACAGTAATACTACTTTATTTGTCCTCAATCAACATGAAATTGGAAATTTGGACTGGCTCCCACGAACCTGCATACAACATGTAACTGATACAGATATAAACATGTTCCATATCTCATCTAAATCACATTGTGAGCTTTAATCAAGAAGCTCGTCAATCATACTCAGATTAAAACCCCACGTTGACTAGGTTCGAACCAGGGTCTTTGACACAAGAAGTAGTAACAATACCTCTTGGCAAAACACTCAGCTCAGAGTCATAGATAATTCATTTGTATATCTCTACTGTTTACTTTTTATATTTATTCATTTCATACATATAGACCATTATAATGGATAGTACTTTTTTGTTTTTAATATTTTAATGAATGTTACATTCTATTATTTTGCCAATTTTGATGATGGCTCTCTAGGTAGGCCAGCTACAACCCCACAAAGTATGAAAGAATATTTTGATTACCATACTATACAGAATACAATACCTCTGAATTCTATAGTAGGGATATTTAGATCCACTAGGTGGTGTGACCCACATATCCTCACCCTAACATCCTGGTTGGAAACATTCATGCATACATCCCTCCTTTTTACCCCACAACACATAAAGTATATTGATGCCTATTAGTTTACTACTTTTTAATTAATGGAAAGGCGATTCCAAAAGATAATTTTCTCCATTAAGTTTGTAATAGCTGGTGTTTTCCAGCGCGGGAGACATCCTCAGTGATGGTCTGTGCCTTATCTTACTTGTACATTATTTGATGAAAGCTCCAACCCAATAATATGGGATGCAGATTCACAGATACCAGTTGTCCTGTTCCTTTCTATTTATCATTCACTACCCAGATCCGTGTTCCATGGTGTCAGAAATTAGCAATGGTGTGGTGGAATATGATACAATGGAGGATGGTAACGGAATGTTCCTACCTGGGACCAGTGTCACTTATCAGTGTTTGGAAGGATACAAGCTTAGTGATGAGAGTCTTCAGATAAGGAATTGCAGAAAGGGAATATTTTCAGGCAGATCACCTGCTTGCTTGTTAAGTAAGTTAAATACTTTACTACTGTGTTAAACCTCATGTTTTATGTGTGGTATAGTAAAATTAAATCCAGATATATATATATATATATATATATCTGGTCTCTTATACACATCTATAGGCTTATTATATCTATATGTATATATATATTGTTGCGAATTGAAATGGATCTTAAAATTAAATACCCACAAGATGGCGTCAATAAAGATTTAGGATTCTTCACAGATTACACTTTTTATTAATCAATGCATTCACCCATCTAGATACTTTTTATTCATCTTTTATATACTATTTAACTTGTTATATTTCATTTAAATACAGTGTTCGAATAAAGGACATAATAATACATCGTGTAGCATAGCTCGCAACGAATGTAGTCCTGTAAATAAATGAATAAAGAAATTGTGTAATAAAATGCCTCTGGCGGGACTCGAACCTGCAACCTCTCGCTGTCAAGGCAAGCGTCATAACCATTAGACCACAGGGGCTTCATGGTTGAACAGATTCAAATACCACCAGATACACTCCATTACACAATAAGTACGGCTAGAAACAAATAGTTGCGTATAATATAAATCAAGGTAACCGTTAACACTGTTAAATTATATATATATAAATCATCAAAGAAGTGTAAATACAGTGTTCGAATAAAGGACATAATAATACGTCGTGTAGCATAGCTCTCAACGAATGTAGTCCTGTAAATAAATGAATAAAGAAATTGTGTAATAAAATATCTCTGGTGGGACTCGAACCTGCGACCTCTCGCTGTCAAGGCGAGCGTCATAACCATTAGACCACGGAGGCTTCATGGTTGAACAGATTCTATGCTATGCTACACGATGTATTATTATGTCCATCTGTATTTATTGGCTTCAAACTTGTTTCGTATGAGTAGCTAAAAGCTACTCGCACTCGTCATCAGGCTTAAATACATAATAAGCATACCAAGTAGGATCATACACTAATACTGACAGAAACTACAGCGAATATATGTTGCCATGGTGCGTAGATAATTATGGCCCTTAGTCTATTGTTTAAGTTAGTTGTTGCATAGCAAATGTTTCTTTCTGTGCCTTCATGAACTGGCTAGTTCATTTCTGTGATTAAGTGTGCTTAATTCTGGCTTACAAATTATGAAATATTTTTCCATTATGTATAAGTTACATTTCTTAGTGGCTGTGGAGTAAAGTTTACATTTGGCTAAAATTCTCCACTTTATGGAATATAATATTGACTTATCTTTTAGTGTCCATATATATTGACTTAGAGTTGTGGCATTTTTCTGAGTTTTTTTTCTAAAATTGCTGTTGTGTCCATTGAATCTGGTTTTAAAGGAGTGTTCAGTAAGTCCGACGTAGGTTTCATCTGTTTTGTTGTTGTGCCTTGTAACTGTGGCCTGGTATACAATCCCTTTTGTTAGACATTCACCTTCTAGTGGGCATACTCTGTTCTTATTGCAATTACAGTTCTTTGCTTCTTGCTCCATAGTTTTGTTATTAAGTGTCTTATTATGGCTAGATATTATTTGTTTTATGCTAGGCATGCAACTGTAACTAATTTTTACAGTATTGCAGTTGAATATTTTTTAGAGTTGGTGGCCGGGTGGGAAGGATGTGTCAATGATTTTGAGGAATGTGCGTCCTATATTGGTTGATACGTTGTCACTGGGTGGGTTGAACCAGATTATGTTTCTCTGTCTGTTTCGTTTTCGTTGTTTGTCATTAGCTGATGGGTCAAACTTTAATTTGTATTCATATCCACTCTTTCTAAGTGCCACTTGGTACGGTAGTGTGGCTTCATTAAAAACAGTTTCATTAGATGATATCTTTGACAGACGTTTGTTGATGGCTTCCGGTATGTTGCGCGTTATAGATGGTGGGTGGTTGCTTTGTCTATGTACATACAGTGGAGTATTGTTTGGTTTCATATATGGCTTGAATGTTCCAGCGTTTAAGTCGAGGGTGATGTCCAGATAGTCTACTATTTTCTTGTTGGCTTCTATGGTGATTATGAGCTTGTTCTTTCCGAAGGTCTTGCATATATCTTTTTTTATTTCCTCGATTTTTGTAGGTGTTTCATTAAATGCGGCTAGGCCGTCATCTCTGTTCAAGCCGACACAGGATCCGTATTTTGGTTTTAAGTTCAGCTATATGAAAAGATCTATCAGCTCGCAGGTTTCTGCACCATCGAAACTTCCAATAGTTACGTCAAATTGCACTTTCGTGTTTTTCTTGCACCATGGTGTTTCATTGCTGAATAGGAGAGATTTCATATATATATAATCCAATTATTTTTAAATAGTAAACCATTTTTGTTTATGTATTTTCGCTAGCTTTCGTCAGGTTGTAAAATTTAGTCATATATGTGAGAGTCTGTATCCCCCATCGTCCCTGTTCATAGTGGTTTGGTGTTTTCTTATGGCAATTGCTTCTCTGATAATCCTCTTGTCCCATGAATTTTCTCTTTTGATGATTTTGGCATTATCCCAATCTGAACCATGTGATCTGTAACTGCTGATTTATGAAGTGATTCGAAATTGGATGAGGAAGCGCGTGCTGATCTTGTGCGTATGCCTTTGGTATTATTAGTGACATCTTTTTTGTGTTCTTCCAGTCTTTTCTTGAAAGGTCTGCAGGTTTTGCCTATATAAACATAGTTACAGTTTAGACAGCCGATCTGGTAAATTATTCCACGTGTCTTCTTTTTTTGTCTTGTCTTTTGGATATACTAGGATTTCTCTGAGCTTGTTATCTGCTTTGTAGTACGAGCCAGTATTGTGTGTGTGAAGTGAAGATTTTTTCCGATATTCCTTGTATGTAGGGAAGTTCAATGTTGCCCTTATTTCTACCAGATTTGGTTTGTTTGGCTATCTCCTTTTGCAGTTTCCTTTGTTCTTGTTGCTGTTTTATTTTAGTAATAGTCCAGTCCGGGTATCCACAGTTATTTGGTGCTGTTTTGATGTTTTGTGATTCTTTTTTCTGATTTCTGGTGTTCGATACGATGGTGTAGCATCTATGAATAAGGGTGCGGGGAACACTCAATTAATGTTGAAGTGGGTGGTGTGATGTAAAATGCAGATATTGGTTAGTATGGGTAGCCTTTCTGTGGACTGTAGTAGTAAGGCGGCCGTCGACTTCTCTTGTGAGAATGGTGTCTAGGAACAGAATGGAATTGTTGCTCAGATGTTCACATGTAAATTTTATATTGTTTGTGGGGTCAATATGGTTCAGGTATGTATTGAGTATGTATGATCACTAGTAGTCATCTACGTACCTCTTCCAGAGTATAGGTTTTATGTCTGGTCCAGCTTTGATGTTGACTTCATTCTATAACCATTCCATGAAGAAAGAGGCTATCAGAGGAGAAACTGGCGAACCCATGGCAATACCAAAACATTGGCTGTATACCTGTATGTCATTTCTGAAAGAGAAATAGGTAGTGGAAAGGACAAATGTTAGTAACCCAATATATCATCTACTGTAAGAAAGTCCTGGAATTCAGTTCTTTGTCAGTGAGCAACCGTTGTTTTATTATTTCCAGTGATTTGTCTACTGGGGTTTTTGTGAATGGGGAGACGACGTCAAAGGAGACGATTGTCTCTCGGGATGAGACAACTACATTCTTTAGTGTGTCTGCAATATCCTTGGCGTTGTGTACATGATGAATAGTGTTGCTAAACATAGGAGAGAGTATGCCGGCTAGACTACGAAAAACATTGTAAGTGTTGGATCCTGTATAGTCAACAATGGGGCATAGAGGAGTATTGTCTTTATGGATCTTGGGTGAGCCATAAATTTGTGGAATGTTTTCCGATGTTGGGATGTTTCTGACTGGGTGTTATTTTCTTTTCTTTCATTAGTCTGTTGAGTATGGCTGTGAGTTTTCTTTTGTAGCCTGCTGTGGGATCTTTTTTTATTTTCTTGTATGTAGATTCATCAGAGAGCATGTCAGTCATTTTCCTTTCATAGTCCGTTGAATTCAGAATAACAGTGGCGTTGCCCTTGTCTGCTGGAAGTATGGTTTAGTGATTTGTCATTTCTGATTGTGTTGAGTGCTTTAGCTTTTTGGTTACTAATGTTCATTTTTGTAGGCCTAGTAGGCCTAGCTGACCTTAGAATACTCAAGAATTTCCCCCGTATTAGATCCCTATCTTCCAGTGAAGCCAGTTTGCATGCCTGCTCGGTCGCCTCCACAAAGTCTTCCATTGGTTGCCTAGGTTTTATGATCGCGTAATTTAGGCCTCTCGCCAGAATGTTTTCGTTTTTTGTTAATTTTGTGTTGGAAAGGTTGACTACCCACCGTTTGAGTTGGGTTCCTGATAGATCAATTTCATTGTGTTTTAATATCCCAATAGTTGTATTTTGACCATCCTTAGCGTCTTTCCACTTCCGATATTTGAGTTAATGTTTTGATTTGATTCTGACGTATTCCAACATTTTTCACTGTCGTAATGTGGAGAATGACAAGCTCGCTATCTTGTTCGTTTTCCAATTTTGTCTTGATTATCCCTTCTGTGGCCTCCAATTTGCCTTTTAGATCTTTTAGACGTGATTCGAATTCTTTCACACACTAGTTGTTTCTCGGCTTTTTTAATGATTTCTTTAGCCCGTTGAACCGGCTGGTTTAAGACGTCTTTCTTGAATTAGCCTTATGTGTGGTATTGTTATGCTAATGAGGCAAATAAGCGCAATCTGCACATGCTCAGAAACCAAAACCCTTTCCTTAGCCACACCATGGCCACACACACGCCGAGAATTACGGTACAGTAAAAAAAAGCAAAATAAGGGTACTAATTTCACTTGGCATGCAAATCAATCATACTTACACACTTAAAAACAAATTAATCTACCAATAAAATCACCTGCACGTTAAGATATAAGGCAAGTATGTCTGCAAATTTGATTTTAAATTGATGTGACTTTGTTTTGTAGTATTACAATGAACATCACATAGGCCTAGGCCCTGTCTAACCGCTTATTAAAATGCAGAAAAGAGACCCAAAACAAATTAGAATGAAGTTATCAACTAACTAGTGCATTAAAATCATTCATATACTTACTACTTATATAAAATTAAAATGTATTGCGCACAAACGCCAATATTTGGATTTTAATACGCCTTTTCCATGAATCGGTAGACATCTTGAAGTGATGACAAACGGCCTAAGTCAGTGGTGCGTAACAAACAAAAATAAGATAAGCTAGGCCTAGCTGCTGTACGCCAAGCCGATACGCAGTGTGGCTAAGGAAAGTTTTGTTTTTCTGAGCATGTGCAGATTGTGCTTATCTGGCTCATTAGCATAACAATACCACACATAAGGCTAATTCAAGTTAGATGGCTTAAATCAGCCCGGGTTCCTATCCTGGTAACAGTTAAAAGTCCTTGCACAAACAACAAAACGTCCAGCTCATTCAGCCTGACGAAGTCTTGTTGACAACAAGACGAAAGCAAGCGCAAGTACGTCAAAGAAATAGTTTACTATGTAAAAATAATTGGATTATCAGTTACAAAACTTTAATTCACTTTATATATGAAAGTATCTTATTCAAGGTCCAGCAAGCTGAAAATAATGCAAAGAACAGAGCTTATCTTATAGATCTGACTAGTTTGGTCACATGCAATATTAGTGCTATATCAAATTTTTGACGTCAGACATGTTAGAAGAATGAAATTAACTCAGATTCTACCGAACGCTTGAATTACCACAGACAGTGCTTTCGTAGTCAAGTGGCTATGAAGTCTGCCATGTACGGAAAAACGTCTTGGGTTTGAGTCCAAGTTTAGCTGATTTTTTTTTTTCTTCTTTGTCAGATTCTTTTTCTGTTAGGTTTCAATTTATATTATTCATTGCATTATTCCGTTTGTTGCTGGGTTTTTTCCCCCATGCCTTTAAATCACTTGCAGGTTTCGATTCCCACCAGATACCTCTTTTTTCATAAAACTTAATAAGGAATATTTGTTGATGAACTGTGTTTGATACGATTTATAACATCATGTTTATATATATTTGAATGCTGTATTAGGATTATTAGATAGGGCTAGAGGTATTAAGGTGGCAGTGAGAGTAAATTTCTGTATATTTATATGCAATATGTGATTCAACAAATTTTTGCAATACCCTCAGACTGGGGGATATATATTCAAGTGTTTGGGGCAGAATCCTGTAGTAGAGGACAATTAATTTTCATTTTTCTGAAAAACTAGTTATATATAATATGCCATATAGAAAATAAATTTATGAGAAGAAACTGATATTATTTCTTTCCTATATTTCTGATTAATTTCAATAATTTTTTTATGTGTTTACAGCAAAATGTGATATCCCCATTACTTCTAATGGAAAGGTCAATGCGAGTACTGTCTACCATGGAATGCTTGTTAATTTCACTTGTCATTTTGGATACGAAACTGAAAATGAATTTACTGCAATTTTGTGTTGGAATGAAATGCTAACACCACCTGTTCCAAAATGCACAGAAAGTAAGTGGACGTATTTAAAAAAATATTAATTATAAGACGCTCATGGGGCTCGATGCATGGACTATCATTCATTATCTTCCTACACTGTGTCTGTGCTACCTTGTAAACCACCAGGCACTCTTCTGTCAACCTTCTGTCAACCACAGGAAAACTGTATAGACCAGTACCTGGGGTATCCCCAACTTGTCTTGTCCTAAAAGCAGGGTGTGCGAGCCAATTGAGGCACCCACCAGGGTGCAGTGGTAGAGCCATTGTGGGGTAGTGCCTTTGGCAAACATTGGGTGTGTGCATAAGCAATTACATTTATAATATACCAACTATCATCATCAAAACATTATTAATAATATCATTACCATCAATTATCGTTACATTATCAACATTTTATTATTAAATTTGTAGAGCTGTGCATAGTGCATTTTAGGAAAAATTATTATATGAAGGTTAGATTTAATGCTTGAAAAAAATTTCCTGAGGGCCTGCAGGTAATGTTGGAGATAGGCAAATAACTTTGGGAGTTGCAATGATGACGTCACGATTGACTTTCATTATTATATTATTATTATTTAGTATTATAATAAAGATATTATTCTAGAAAAATCAGTTTTACACAATCTGTTGCCATAGAGCCATGTCAGGTGATACCAAGAAATATTAGCATTAACTATGACAAAGATGAGAACGCTGATGGTACCTTTCCTCCCGGCACAAGAGCATTATGGCAGACTACAGAAATAGGACTTAAAACTTCCAGAATCTGTAAGATGAATTCCACCTGTCATCTAGGGCTGTTTGACATTAAAACTGAATGTATAAGTAAGTTTTGCCACCTTCTTCTCATGGTTTGTTATCTACATCAAGTTTTTGATTGTACTGTACCTTATTCCTTAGTTTTTTACATTTTTAATATTTAATTGTTTTTATACTATCATCTTCATACCACCCACATGGATATTTTGAAATAGATGGTTATTGAGTAAACAATTTATTTGTATTTTTTTAAAATCATGAAAATTCACCACAAATCTCTTAAACCACAAAACATATTCACACCACCTTGTAATGATGACATCATATAGGCCTATTGTACTACATACCAGAATTCACTCTAATTTGGGGTAAAAAGTTGAATAATGAAAAATGTTGTTTGCTTTATATCACAGCAACCTGTCCACATTATGAAGTAGCGAATGCAGTTGTGCTATACAGCAAAAATGAAATACACGTGGAGCCAACGTCAATATTACATGGAGTCCAAAGGGATGTAATATGTAGAAACCCTTTTGTGATGGTAAATGTTGATCTCCGAAAAAGTTACTGCCAGAATAACAGCCAATGGTCAAAAAGAACACCATCATGCATAAATGGTTAGAGCATTTTTTTTTTCGTTTGCCAGTAGTTTTATGGAGACTAGATGTAAATGATTTTCTCGAAGACAGTTGCTTAATTTAAGTAAACTCTATTTACTTTTATTCTTTCTTTCGCCAGGGTTTCAACAACAAACCTAAATCTTGCTCAACACCACGGCGTCTCTCTTGACGTGACCTCCACAAAATTAAAACAAGTGCTGCCCTCTATAATCTAACAATTCTAACTAGCTATCTCAACAACATCCTCCCCTCCCTTGACAGACTGATGTCAAAAAACTAACTAACTTTAACATAAATTAGTCCTTTCTGTATTTAACAAAATTCAAACATATGCAAAACCAAAACAAATGTTAAAAACTAAGTGTTCTTGTTCAAGATTATTAAATCATTCTCAGAACTATAATAAAATACTGTACTAACAGTTAAAGATGAAATTACTAAACCTGGCGTAAAAATATCATCAACTATCTAATTACTACTACTTCTACATCCATCAAGCTGTGCGATTTACCTTCAAAATGACTACTGTACCACATTTATTTCTTATTTGGTTTTAGTTATTGCATGCTATACTGTATATTTATATTTTCTATGTTTAAATATGTATTAAATGTTATATCTTCATTCATTTCACACAGTTAGCATATAATCATGTAGTCAAGCATAGTTTATATTAAGAGTTCAAATGTCAGCAATTGTCAAAAAGACCAGCAAAGTATTAACTTTATTTGTTGATACACTCTAATAGACACAACTTCACTACCGGCCGAGTTAAAGTTCCATTCTGAGTCTTTACTTCAGCTACCCGCACATGTCCGTCGTCCCCAGGAAAGACTTTCTCTATTTTACCAAGTGGCCACTTGCCTCTTGCGGTGTCTGGATTATAGACCAACACTATGTCTCCCACCTTAACGTTCTTATGAGAAGTGTTCCACTTTTTTCTAGTGGTCAATGCAGGAAGATATTCTTTAATACATTGGTGCCAGAAGTGCCTTACTAGTTCTTGTACTCGTCTCCAACGTTTTTTGAGATTAAAGTTTGTTTTATCAATGCTTTCAGGAGCAAATATTCCTCCTACCTGCCCATGAATAAAATGATTTGGCGTCAAAGGGATTATGTCATTAGGATTTGCTGACTGGTATGTTAATGGCTGTGAATTAACAAGTCCTTCTACTCCTGTTATTGCGCTGATTAACTCCTCATCTGTTATATCTGCATTCCCCAAAGTTACCTTTATCGCTCGCTTAGTTGTCTTTATCATCACTTCATGTACTCCACTGAAGTGGGGCGCACCTGGAGGATTGAATCTCCACTTATCTCCATGGGCAGCAGTTTGGTCTTTGATTCTATTTTCATCCAGGTCTCTCAACTCTTTAGCTCGTTATTTGCACCCACAAAATTGGTCCCATTGTCGGATAACATGCTTTCTGGCATACCTCTTCTTGATGCCATTTGAAAAAATGCATTAAGAAAGGAGTCTGTATCTAGGCTCCAAGCCATTTCTAAATGTACTGCTCGTACTTCCAGGCAGGTAAACAAACAGAGATATCTCTTTACTCTGGCTCGTCCTCTTCCTTGCACGGTAATGACGGGTCCACCAAAGTCCACTGAAATACTGTATGTGTAAAAGCACGCAGTGACTCTCCCAGTCGATACTTTGGAAGTGGTGCCATCTTTGGTTGTACTGGTTTGGCATTTCTTCTTTTACATTCATTGCATTCCCGTTCCCAACCTCTGATTGCTTCTCGTGCTGACAAAATCCAATATTTTCCTGAGAGTTGGGAGAGAACATAATTTGTTCCAGAGTGTAATGCCAGCTCATGTGCATTCTTGATTATTAGTTTGGTGATATGTTGTGTCTTTGGTAAAATGATCAGGTACCTTGTCTCCCAGGCAACACACTCACCATATTTTAGTCTCCCATCACAGCGTATAATGCCATCTGTATCAAGGATTGGGTTCAGTGGTAGTAACTTTGATCCCATAGGAATTGGTTTATCACTTTTTAGTGCTTTTATTTCTTCTCCAAAACATAGATTTTGTGCTGACATTATTAGTCTGTGTTGTGCATTTACAATTTTCTCTGAAGTGAGTGGGCCAATTTGATGATAACCGGCTGGTAATTTGCAGTTCTGTAGATAACGAATAACTGTTGCATATACTCTGCTCAGTCTAATCCAACTAGAGAAACGTGCGGGGTCAAGTCGACTTTCTCTTTCTTGTTTTGGTTCAATGAAGAATGCAAGTTCTTCATTTTTGTCTTTGTATGAACGTTTTATTTCAGAATTTTCTTTAATCTTCAATGTGATCTTGTTTGGTGGCCATTCTGATTTTTCTAGAAACAAGAATTTAGGTCCCTTCCACCACTTTTCTTCTCTGATCAGGTCTGGGACATTTAAACCTCTTGTTAATAAGTCTGCTGGATTCTCTTTAGTTGGTATGTGTCTCCACTGGGCCGGTTCAGTCCCTTCCTGAATTTCTCCAACTCGGTTTGCCACAAAGGGTTTAAATTTTCTACTCATACCCCTTATCCAGTACAAGGTGTCCATACTGTCAGACCACATAGTCCATAGATGTCTGTCAATTTGTTGGGCCTCTCCTATCTTCTGTGCTAATCTGAGTCTCAATACGGCAGCCATTAGCTCCAACCTCGGAATACTGACAGCTTTTAATGGGGCTACTCGAGATTTTGATGCCACAAGTGCACATGAAATAGTCCCATCTAGATATGTATACCGTACATATGCACAAGATCCGTATGCCTTTTCCGATGCATCACAAAATACATGTAGCTGTAAATGACTGGTTGGTCTGTCATTTTTTAGGCAACGTGGAATTCGTAAAGCTGTCAGATTCTGGAGATCCTTAAACCACTGTTCTACCTTGCATGCAAGGCTTAACTCTAGTGGTTCGTCCCATTCATGTCCTTGAATCCATATTTCCTGAAGTAAAATCTTTGCTATGATGAGGTTCGGTGCCAAAAGCCCAAGAGGATCAAACAATGTAGCGATCCATTTTAAAAAGGATCGTTTTGTCCAGGTGGTCCTTTCCGCTACTGTAGGATTTATCTTGAAAGTAAAATAATACTCTTTAGGTGTCCATCGAATGCCAAGAGTTTTTACTTGCGGCAGATCTCCTTTGTCTAGATCTACCTCAGCTGGGCAGTCTTCCTGTGGAATTTTCTCTATAATTTCTGTCTTGTTTGACAGCCACTTTCTTGCATGCATACCAACCCGCTTCCAGAGCTGTGACAACTCCTCATATAGTTGTATCCCTGCATCAATATCTGTTGTGGAATCCATACTATCATCCATATATTTGCTGAAAAGCATTGTTTTTGATGCATGAGGAAATTCTTTGCTGAATCGTCTGGCATGCTCCTGGGCTACATACTGAGCCATAAATGGTGATGAGTTTACACCGAACACCACACGTTGAAATTCATATGTATCTGGTGTGCATGTTATATCATTCTCTCACCAAAGAAATCGATGGTATGGACGGTCTTCGATCTGTAGCTGAATTTGAAGGTACATTTCTGAAATATTACACATGATGGCTACTGGATTTTGACGAAATCTCAAGAGTACGTTTACTAGATCATTCTGAAGTTTTGGTCCAGCAAAGATATAGTCGTTCAAGCATTTGCCATGTGTTCGTGCTGCTGCGTCAAACACAATTCTAATCTTCGTGGTTTTGTTTTTCTGGGCGGAAAATGAGGCATATACCATGCATTTGGAGGGGTCTCCTCTTCTGGTGATACTTTGCGGATATATCCTTTTTCTTGATATTTCTGGATTATTTCATCATATGCTTTTGCAAGGTGTGGTGATCTCAGCAGCCTCTTTTCCGTATTTTGTAGTCTTTGTTCCGTGATAGCTGTTCGGCATTTTATGCAGCTTTCTTTCATCTTTCCATGGAATGCCTATGCTATATCTGCCATTTTCATAAGCCAGTGATCTTTCAGACATTTCTAATGTTGCTTTTTCCTCTTGCTTGATTGTGTAGTTGTTTTCAAGTGTCTCAGGTGTGTCCCAGTATCGATGGATTAAATTGCTTATTTCATCACTTGGTTTTGTGAAGAATGTGAAGTTTGTTTGTACCCTCTTTTGCGGAGAGCCAAGACTGACTTTACCAATGCATGTCCATCCAAGTGCAGTTAATCTGGCTATTGGTTCTCCAGGATATCCTCTTACCTCCTGTATCGAGTACATGAGTTCTGCTTGGTCTGCTCCTATTAGTAAGTCCACATGATTTCTGTTTGCCCCTAAACGGAATGTTTTCAAGATGCTTCCAGGAGTGTTTTTCAATACTCCAATTAACTGCCTGCATGTTTCCTGTCACCTTTTCTGTCGTGTAGGCCCATATCGTTTTCCTTGTTTTACCATCAAGACTACCGACGCTGAATTCGACCAATGAACTTTCCAACATTTCCTGAACTCCGTTTAAAACATTAACTCTCAACTGCTCCACCTCTCCTTCAAGCCCTAGTTCTGCTGCTATGTCTGAATTTAAATAGCTTTTGCTGCTAGCTTCATCAAGAAGGGCATTTACTTTAATTGTCTTTTTCCCTTTACATACTAATACTGGTACCGTCCTGAGAGCGAGAAAATTCACTGTTATGACACGCCATCGTTGTTGTGGCAGGAGGAGTAGTACTGGAGGTTGTAAGGTCATTGCTACTTTTCCTTACATTGTTAGCTGCCAGTCTGGAAGCTTGGTTGTATTCCGGATCATGGAGGAGGCGATGATGTTTTCTGCGGCACCCACTCAATCCACAAACTCTACTCCTTCTACAGTCATCTCTTGCATGTCCGCCACCCAAACAGCAAAAACATGCCTTTGCTTCTTTTACTTTACTCCATCGTTGGTTCACGTCCAGTTCCTTAAACACTTCACAGTCATAAAGTTCATGTCCTTCTCCACAAACAACACATTTCCTCAAACTGTACTGACCTTTGTTGTTTTCTGTATCTGTTGTGAATGTTCTGATATTTTGATCTCCCCTACCAATTCCATCGACCGCTTCACAAGCTGTTGTCAAAAACAGGGCTTCCTGGTTAATAAATTGTCTCAATGATTTGGTGTTCCGAATGTAACCATTGTCAAATACCCAACGATGATACTTGGAAAGTAGTGATTTATTTAATTTTCTTTGAAGTGTGATGTATAGCGAGCAGCTACCAAGCTCGTGACTGTTGCCAGTTTCTTCCAAGTTTACTGCTAATACGTCAAGTAGATCGGCAAACTTTTCCAAGTCCTTTTCATTACCTTCTTATATCGGCTTAAAATTATCAAGTTCCTCAAACCTGAGCATTATTTGTCTTTGTTGTCCCCCATACTTGCGCTCCAATCTCTCTTTCGCTACTACATATGCACCTGCCGAATGTCCCAAACTTTCAATGACCTTCAGGGCTTCTCCTCCAAGGCTGTCTTTTAACCTCAGCAACTAATATTCAGCAGTAGCCTTGGAATTATCCACACATGCTATAAATGCAGACTTCCATGACTCATAATTTCTCTTATCCCACTCAAATTGGGGTATCCGTACTCTTGTCAATAATCTGGAAGCATCATTTGAAAGCATCGTTGGCCTGCCACTGGTGTTCACTACATTAGACGTCAGCCCTGGTGCATACTCTGGAGGTGCGTTGCTTATGTATGGCGAAAAGGTGTTGTAAGGATCATCTGGTATCTGTCTTGCCTGTGCATATTGTCCAACATTGGCTGGTGAAATATGCTCTGGTTCGCTAATCCATGGTGTAGAATTGGTGACATGTGACGTACCTGGTGCTTGAAGGTCATAGCCATCGGCAGGTTGAACAAAAACTGTGTTCACAGGTTTTTTTATAGTCGTTCCTGGATGTGTTGGTGGTGTAGTGTATGTTGATAATCTAGGTCGTACATCATTCACCTGGGTTCTGTGAGGGATATTATGATTCCCATGAGTTTGACCATGCAGCTCCATATAATGGTGTTTGCTGTAGTTGTTTGCAGAATGGAAAATTGATGTGGTCCATTCTGTAGATGCTGGTGCACAGATAGATGGAGTAAATGCATCTTGCTCTTTGACATTGCTCTGTTGGCCTTAACTTAGGCCTAGGTTCGTCTATAACTGGGAAATTAGCGTGTTGTTTTTGGCCATGGCCCTGTACTACTCTTTTTCGACGTGTTATTGAGTGAAGATGTGACAATTCTTCATCTAGTTCTTTTGTTAATTTTTCCATTTCCTCTTCAAGTTTTGATCTAGACGTTGTTTCATGATCATAGTCTAACTCCTGTTGACTACCACTACTACTGTCATTAAGTCTAGGAGTAGTTGGCCTAGGCCTAGTTAGCGTTAAAATTACCCTTTCTCGGGCTGCTAGTGCGGCTATGGTGTTTTCTACTGAATGTTCTATATATTCGTATTGGTCCTCATACTCACGGGCCAGTATCTCACTCTTCTGAAAAATATCTTGATATGATTTCAATTTTGTGGACAAGAGAGTTTCTATTCTCGTAACTTGCTCCAACAATGTCAATGGGGCGACCTGTCCATCGTCAATGGATACACTGAGCGCTAGGTTTGCTTCTTCTTGGCCTAACTGTCTCCTTAAACTGCTTAAATCAGACATTTCCCGAGAACTAACCTCGCTATGCTACCATTAAATGTTATGGAGACTAGACGTAAATGATTTTCTCGAAGACAGTTGCGTAAATTTAAGTAAACTCTATTTATTTTTATTCTTTCTTTCGCTGGGGTTTCAACAACAACCCTAAATCTCGCTCAACACCACGCCGTCTCTCTTGACGTGACCTCCAAAAAAACCAAAACAAATGCTGCCCTCTATAATCTAACAATTCTAACTAGCTATCTCAACAACAAGTAGTATTTAATAAGTAATGTGTTGCACAGGGGCCAGTGAATGCACCCAGTGGGGTCCAGAGCCCTTGCCATTAATAGTGTAACATTACAGTGGTTATGCAATTTTGGTTCAAGACACCTGAGCGTAGTGGTCCGGCAGGAAGTGTACCTCACCAACTTCAGGAAAAAACAATAATTAATAGACAGGACTACAATACTAAATTTTCTTTGTGACCACTGCCACTTTAATTAGAATCACAGAATCACACCTTACCCTCCATTGGGGTTCGTGCATGCAAGTAGACTATGTAAACGGTCTCTAGTGTATTCAAATTTACTCAGGACGAGGCCAGCAGGAACAGGAATCAGAATTGGAATAAGCTATCGGCCTATTCCCCACTATTTAGGAGGATCTAATTGTCCAATCAAGGGTGGTTATTCTAATTAGCGTTGTCACCCCTCCGGGCTGTTCTATTAAATGGTATGTTCCTTACAATAGCATAGGTAGTCTTCTACCTGCTGTAACTGTGCATCATTCAAATATTAATGAATGGAAAACAATGATACAAAAAATACAACTGGCTTCTAGTCTTTTTTTAAGTGGAAGGTCAATACATTATTATTGATAACATTATTTCATTAACTATTTTATTACATTCTTTTTTACAGTGTGTGTTACACTGCCACCACCAATGAATGGCAGCCATACATCGGATACACAAGTAGGTAGTAAAATTACTTACCAAACTGTTATTACTACATGTAGTCCCAAATACATGTTAATAGGAGAACCAATGAACAAGTGTAAATCTACGGTAGTACAGCAACCACAGTGCCTAGCAGGTAAGTAGCCTATATTATAGTTCATCTTCAGACAAAATAGTAGTATCTAGGAATATTAACATTCAAGATTCAAGATAATTTTATTGTCTGAAAAACTCGGAAATTACATTCCACTGGCAGTGTTACAAGTGTTAATAACATATACAGTAATAAATAAAAGATAAAAGATAACAAGGATATAAAAATATAAAACCATGAGCACCAAATATTATCTAGTCATAAGATATACATAAAGAATATTAAAAATTATTAAACACCCTTATTAAACAATATTACACATTAAACTTAATTAAATTAGGCGAAAATGGCACTTAAAACCACAATTATCTATTAACATTATTATTATGAAGGTGAATGGAGTTTGGAACAAAGGAGTTTCTATAATGGCAACGTGTGGTGAGTGGTACATTTAGACGTAAGCCTGAGTTGTTAAAAGTAAATCCACTATGTAGTGGATGAGTTTTTTCGTTCATTATATTTTTAGCTAATGCATACTTGTCATAAATATCATCTAAATGTACAATATCTTTAACTATTTTCTTTGCAGTCTTTCGGATTGAGTCTAATTTCTTCATATTTATTTTTCTTTTTTTGTGGGATCTCATGGGAGGCACAAAAACTAAATGGGGGGGCTCAATATAAAAGTGAGGGGAGCTTCTGGAAAAATAAGGTGCTATATGGTGATTTTGAACTACTTAGGAACTTTGCAGTGTGGGTTGAGGCACAGCTTTCTTTACAGGATGTGCATCCCGGCGCTATCCCCATATATACGCCACTGCTTCTCTTTGTATCCAGCAATTGAATTGACATATTCTGTTTGATTCTGCTCTATGTATTTAATCCTGTAAGGTTGAGTGCTGGATGATCTGAAGGGAGGTAGCTTCACACACCATTCAATTAAGAAATATATGTCAAGCATCATGAGCCCTCATGAAACAATATCTATGCCTATCCTTGGTAGAGTAGTGTATAAAGCATTTTCTTATGTTGATTTAAATAATGTGTATTTACAGAGAGTGAGTATCAAGATGGTAGATATTGTCCGTTACTAAATAACAAGGAGTTTGGATGGTACACATATTCTGACAGCTTGCGTGAGGGCAGCATTGTGCGTTTTGCTTGTACACATGGGTATGTGTCAACCATTTCTACTTTCTCGAGGGAATGTAGAAAAATGGAAAACAGCTCAGCTGGGTATGACTGGTTTCCAAGGATTGAAGTTGAGCCCGAGTGTAATGAACCAAATAGTAAGGGAATCTATTTTTATAAACTTCACTATGTACATGTGAATGTAATTGTGATGTAATGCAGTTAGGTTTATATACCAAAGCTTAAAGCACTCACAAGAAATGAAATACATGCCATCATGCTGGGATTCAATATTTTGACTCTTTATTGGGACATCATGAGGAAGATGACAAAGCACTGGTAGTAATTTGTTCCTCCCCAACCCAAGGGTCACTAAGAGTCCGAGCTATCAAGAAAACCGGCAGCTGCACTCGTCTGTCCACAACAGTGGCCGTAACTACCTATTTGTCTCAAAAGTTGTCCTTTAACGGGCACATGAGCCAGTTATGTACAATGGGCCAACGGCAGTTATAGTCCTTATTTGAGAAGACTTGTTCTACCACCAAAATCATGAGAAAGCATGCTGGTCAAGCCGGTGCCGATATTATGGCTGTAGGTTGTGGCACCCCTGCCTTAAAATTGTTATTTTTTATTTAAATTTTTCATTTTACTTTGTTTACTTACAGTAGTGCTGTTTATTCCTTTGGCCAACTAATTATGTTTGATTTGGTTTGATTGATTGATTGATTTTTTTATTTATTTATTTAATAATTTATTATTTTTTACTTATTTATTTTATTTACTTAATTTATTTATTTGCCTTAGCATTTAATTAATTATATTATTTTTTTCTTTTTCGTTTGGTAGCGCTGTTTTTTCCTTAGACCGTCAGTTCTTTTATAATAAAAACTCTAAAAAAATGATTAATTAAAAAATAATAATAATAATCATATGAATACTAACTAATAGATAATTTTCATAATTTTCATAGTTAAATCAACCCATGTACCCTTTTGTAGGATGCCCCTGCTGTGTGTGATTGTTTGCTTTGAACTGTCATTTTGGTTTTTTTTCTTTGATGTTTGGGCTCCAAATCTTGTATAGGAGCCTTCTTCCCCCATAGCTTCACCCTCCTGTATTCGAGGAAATAAATATATTATTATTATTATAACTGCTCGACCAAATGAATCGCCAAAAGCAGTGCTGTGCATATGTGACATGTACTCTCCACCTAATAAATTATTAAATAAATAATAAGTTTTCATCCATCGGCATAATGTATAGAATTCTCATGAGCAATTATTATGATTTAAGACTTCTATATTGGTATGTTGCAAATAACAAAATATATATTTTTTGTAGTTATTCATCATCTACATGATAACATGGAGGTATAAAAGGAGATTCAACCAACTGGCTCCCTTTGATCATGGAAGTATTTTTTATACCTCCATGATGATAATAACAAAAGTAACTAGATTTGAACTCGTCACTGAGGATGAGTTTGGTATACAGATGTATACAACATACTGAAAGTTGGGGGACGAATGATCAAGAATAAGCGCTAAAATGCACATTTAAAAAAAAACGTCATAGATAAAATTTAGTGTGTTTGAATTCAGATGCCAATATGATGACGTCACAATGTCCGATCAGCCATAAAATCATATTTACAACTCATGTGCTTTCAGAATAAAAATTGGGGGTCACCTTTTATCCTAAGGAGGTATAACTGATTAAAAATTTGCCTAATTTTAGCATATTTTCACTGTATATCGGCACAAACGCATGCAAAGGTCCCTATGTTTGATGCGCACGTACGGCATTGCTATTGGCCATAAGATGACCGAAAGGAATAAAAATTTGTGAAAACAATGTCAGGAACCTGGAAAATTTGTAAAAAAAATGTAATTTCTAGCTTCCGTACGTGATGCGCACCTAAAAAAAAAAATTGAAATGCTCAAAATGGCGTGAAACGTGCTATAATGTAGTCAAAAAGTGATTTCGAGCATTTTAATATTTTGACGTGCACGTTATGAAGCGCACGCGTAAAATTAGGGTACATTACATTCAACATTGACCTGAAGTTAATGCTCACTTAATACGATTTTGAAATGGCAATTGGTTAGGCTGATATGATCGATAACGTAAAAATGCAAAATTGCGTGTAGATGACGTCACGCATGACTGAGCATGTTGAAAAGCTTACCATGACTATTCCAGACCAAGCCAAATGTTCGTTGAAGTGCACTTGTGCGTAGCTCACAGCATTTTTGAGATATTGTGCGAACAGGAAATGGGGAGAAAGAAAGAAGAATTAAAAAAAAAAAAAAAAAAGATGATCCTGACAATATCGAACAAGAGGTGACATTCATACCTCCTTCATGGATCTGCCTCAGCACCATTACACCCTTTTAGGTCTTGAGTGCTTTGATATTGATACTGGTCAATTTGTATTCAAAAATGACTCCCTCTTTTAATATCCACCAAGGTGTTATGTTAATGGAATTTGTTTCCCCAATGCAAGACAAAATACAACCAACGTCCAATACAACCAGTGTACAGTTGTACCAGCATTTGCTAAAGATCACTGTCAAATATAAAATATTTTTCCGCATGGCACATTCATTTATGAGCATTTACAGAGAATTTTGTTATATTAATTTTTTGGATTTTTCCCCTATTTTGTAGGAAAGTGTTTAAATAAAATCCTTTATGAAGAAAATATGGGAAGTATTTCTGCTTCATCATTTCTGGAGAAAGAGCCTGCGTACAGTTTGAGTAATGCAGTTGATTGGAGGCCTAATCGGAAAAATGACAAAAAACCCTGGCTTCAAATACAATACAACAACATTCAAACACTTTATGGTGTTGTACTAAAGTCAAGCAAAAGAGCATGGGTAACTTCATACCATGTAAAATACAGAAAGGAAATGGAAAAAGGATCATGGAACGTTGTCCAGAATGACCTTGGCAGGGATATGGTATGAACATCTTAAATTTTACTGCCAGTGTTTGCTGATGTAGATAGATACAACAAATAATAATAATGATGGATTATAACCTTTAATTTGGCCCTAAAGACACTAATCCAAATCAAAACATAGTTGTCAAGCTTAACAACTTACCTATTACAACAGGGTCAGAAACACGCACACACCTCACAAACACACATGTGTTTGTATGTGTGAAACAATAACCAAGGTACTGGGCTTACTCATCCACTCCCTGTTTAGCTCATCTTCCTTTTATGCAGCAGCTGCTAAGACCAATACATACCTGTAGGGTTGGTGGTGACTCAAGCAAATGGATTTTAAAGTCATACCAATTTTGTTTCATAACATTTTAAAATTGTCTCTTCCTCTACACAATATATGCATACATCTATATGTATCTTCAAAAGTAACAGATTTTTTTTTTGTCAGAAATTTGTGGGTAATATCAATAGAAGGATGGCTGTGGTCCAGGCATTTCCACATGAAATTAAAGCTGTTGCTTTGAGGGTCTATCCGCTTGAATGGTTTTCCAGTATAAACATGAGAATTGGAGTATTCGATTGCCAGATTAAAATACTAGGTAAAAACTATATTTAATATTAAACATGGTAATAAATGAATTGAAAATTAAAAATTCTTCATTCCTGTGAATTGACTATGGTAGTTTTCAATTGTATTTATTTGATAAACCAATTATTTATATTTATTCTACCAATATCTACAATATGATAATCATTTTACAATTTATGCATAATGTTAATTTTGGATCACATTTTCTCATTTATTTTGTCTTGATATTGAATTTTTTAAATATTTCCTGGGGAAAGAGTCAGGATTTTTAAACAAGGGGCACCAGTTTATCAGAATTCAGCCTTTGCCTACAATGTAAAATATCCACCTAACAATTGGAGTTTTATTGCTATTTGATAACATTTTAGAATTTTCACATGTATTATTACAGCAGATGTTAATTTATTTTTTTATAATTTACTTTAGATGCTACCAGTACAACAGTGTCATCAGCATATGGTATGTTTGCTATTTATTCACTATTTCGTTTCCATTATATTGTGAATTTTTTTTTTTTTTTATAGGCTACACATAGCAAATTATATGTTACAAAAATGCAGCCTTACCTAACTATTTTGTCTGCTCACCAACTGTAGTCTAAATGAAATATAAAGAATAATTATTCTAAATAATTATAAGCACCAAATCCAAATGTGTTTCTATTGTTAGTGTTGCAGCAAACATTGTTTTTTTTTTACTAAGCACCAATCTCAAATGATACTGTAGCTCTAATATTAGAAATACATTCTATTTTAAATAAGTATTGCAGCACTTAATTGAGAAGTACATACAAGTATTACCTAACATGCCATTTCTTCATGGAATAAATAGATAGGGTGACATGGTAAACACCATTTTAATTAGTTGTATCATGCATCTCTCAAACAAAAGCATTTTTCCTAAAAAAAATTTAAAAAGTATTGTGACACCAATTCATTTATGATAAATTAAATTGCAAAATATTGTTAAAATTGATACATGTAATATTTAATCTGATATTCTCAGAATATTGGGGTTAATTTTTTCAAAATATTTTTTTTTTAGAATCCACGACTTCAGAGCCAACATCTTCAACAGAAAATCGCTTTGATCGTAAGTAACATTTCTAAATTTATTTTCCACCCGTCACCATTCCCTACCAAAAACACAGATACACACACCCCTACCATGCCAACACTCAATATTATACAAGTCCTAATGACCTGACATAATACACCTACTGTATATACGCCTGTGTGATGTTAACACATTTTAAAGATTAAATATAGTTGTAGTGAATGATTCAACAATTTTGAAGCAAAACTGAGGATTGTACTACCTATACCATATATACATTTTAGAATTTTTGTAGGTGTTGATTTAATTTTTTATAATATATTTTAGAGGCTACCAGTACTAAAGTGCCATCAGCATATGGTATGTTTGCTATTTCTTCTCTATTTTATTTCCATTTTATTGTTTTTCTTTTTATTTTATAGGCTACACATAGCAAATTAAATGTTACAAATATGCAGCCTTGCCTAACTATTTTAACATCTGCTCACAAATTCAATTGTATTCTAAATAAAATTTAAAGAATAATTACCCTAAATAATTATAAGCACCTCTTGCAAATCCGAAGTGTTGCAGCAAACACTGTTTTATTTTGTACCAAGCACCAGTCTCAAGTGATACTGTAGCCCTAATCACTTTTTCATGGAATAAATAGATAGGATGATATGGTATACATATAACTGATGTTTATGAATGCAATGGGAAGAATATTTTCATGAGTTGAAAGATTGACTCTTCCATTCGACTCGGCTCCACCTCGTTGAATGAAACAGTCAATCTTTTAACGAATGAGAATTTCTTTCCATTGCACGAATAAAAAATGTTCATTATTTGTTTTATAAAACACCTAAAATAAATTCTTGTCATTTGATATTTTATGAAAAAAATCTACCCTTTCTCTAAATGGAACAGTTCAGCATCTTTTTAACCAATCAAAAGATTGTATTAGGTTGAAGTCATATCATATCCTGGGCACTGTGCAATGTAGAAAAACGGATGGAACGAAAATGCATGGATGGAAGTAAAAATGCACGGTGGAACTAAATTTCCATGATGAGTGACGAAATGGGGTAAATAACCAATGTCACACAATGTGAAATCCACCAATCAGATAACAAGGATTTATTTAGGTGTGTTATAAAAAAAAACATTTCAATTAGTTGTATCAATCGTCTCTCAAAAAAAGCATCTTTCGTCAAAAAATGTTAAAAAGCATGGTAAAAATAATAATTGTTTATGAAAAATCAAATTGCAAAATATTGTTAAAATTGATACATGTAATATTTATTCTGATAATCTCAGAGTATTGGGGTTAATTTTTTCAAAATATTTTTTTTAGGATCCACTACTTTAGAGCCAACATCTTCAACAGAAAGTCGCTTTGATCGTAAGTAACATTTGTTAATTTATTTTCTACCCGTCACCATTCCCTACCAATAAACACAGATACACACACCCCGGCTACCATGCCGATACTCAATATTATTTAAGTCCTAATGACCTGACATAATACAGCTATTGTATATACACTTGTGTAATTTAACACATTTTTAAAGACTAAATACGTTTGTAGTGAATGATTCAACGATGTTGAAGCAAAACTTTAAATTTATGGATATACCTATTGGTGAGGTTGTCTATCGGTGAAGGATAACACTTTTTGAAGTGGTAAAATTAGGTTAGGTTTTCTAGAAGACTGGATGCATTAGGAAGACATAATAAACTATAAAGCTAAAAACACCACAATTCACAGAATTTTTATCTCATGAATCCTAGACTGTTGTTTAATAGTGGCAATGATCATTGTAAAAGCTACCAAATTTTGTTGACATTGAAAGGTTTTATTTATTTTTTTATAGAATAGGCGAGACATTTTTTATTCCTTATTTCGCATACTTATTTTTTTAAAGATTATCAGAGGAGGGCGGAATAAAAATAAAAATAAAATTTTATTTTGTTATTTAGCAAATAGTTTTGCCAAAATCATCCAGATGGAGGAGAAAATAAAAAATAAAATTTTATTGGTGAATATAAAATAGGATGCTTAAATGCTTCAAATTTATATAATTAGGAAGAAATATATATATCTTATCTTTGGAGATTTCAAGGAAGCGGAGGGCGTAATAAAAATAAAGAAAAACTTTTTTTTTTTCTGAAATTTCCACTTTTTCACGGCTAATTGGCCAAAAATAAAATTTTATTTTTATTCGAAATCCTCAATATTTGCATTTGGCTAAACAAGGTTATAAAAAAAGTCTCGCTATACCTCAAACATAGCTTTGTTTTGTAAAGGCTATCCCTGAACATAAATTTAAATTTTGAAGGTTTTGCATCACAATGTAAAATTTTAAACCAGGATGAGTCCTGCAGTGCTACTTAAGCCCAACTCAGACAGCGTTGTACGATGCAGCCCAACGCAATTAATTGTCAGGGACAGTCTTAAGCCGTTGTGAAAAATATTGAACAAGTTTAATATTCTATGACACAACTGCCCCGACGCAAACCAGTACGTCTGCGTTTAACTCAGCCAGACCCGCCCCGACAACAAAGCGCGTCAGGGCAACAACTGTCGGAGTTGGCGTTAATATGCAACAAAAAACTTGCGCAGTTTACTGTACTATTCCAAAGGCCTAGGTACATAATTTCTCATTGAAAAATTTTATTATGGGAATTACAGAAACATGCAAAAAAAAAGGAGGGAGGAGAAGGATGGGAAAGAGAATATTTATCCAGTACCCGACCGAGTTACATTTTATCGCAATTCACATTGGCGGATCTGGGGGGAGGGGATCATGGGTCCTGACCCCTCCCTTGGGCAACAAAAAAGGGGGAAAAAGAAAAGAATTCTAGACCTACCTTTTCAGGACCCGTGAGCTGATTTTTTTTTGTTGCTATTAGAAAATTAGAATTTTGAAGAACATAAAATTCATTAAAACACACTTCAAATGTCGGGAAAGCTCAATTCCCGCCCTCTAGGAATTAAAATTTTCCCGGGGGAGAACCACCGGACCACCCTTTTTTTTTTGGATTTATCGATTCATGGAAAAAAGAATACGCATGCAACTACTCATTTGTTTATGTATGTATACATACATAAGATAAAAAATGAGAAAAATTTACCTGACCTTTTTAAAGAGGGGAAAACCTTCAATTTTGAAGAACTTTAAAAGTCATTAAAAGACATTTCAGAAGTCAGGTAAGCTCATCTCCCGCCATCTAGAAATCGAAATTTTTCCGGGGAACCCGGACCCTTTATCTTTGGAGTTCATTGATTAATTGAATCATTTTCAAGGGGGGGGGAACCTTGAATTTTGAAGAATTTAAAAGTCATTAAAAGACACCGCAGAAGTCGGGAAAGCTCATTTCCCGCCACCTAGGAATCAAAATTTTCCCGGGGAAGAACCACAGGACCTCCCCCAACACCACCTTTCTTTTTGGGATTTATCGATTCATGGACAAACTATGTATGCAACTTACTCAATCTTTTTTTATGTATGTATACACGCATAAGGCCTATTTACTGTAATAACAATGGGAAAAAATTACCAGACCGTTTTCAAGATGGGAAAACCTTGAATTTTGAAGAACATAAAAGTAATTAAAAGACACCTCAGAAGTCGGGAAAGCTCATTTCCCGCCACC